AGATTCCAGCCCTTATGGAGCCTTCATTTTAGTGGGAATGTCAGCATTCCACTGCAAGAGTTCTCATTTTCCTAGGTGATAGAGCTTAAAGGCTTATCCACATCTGAAAGAAATTCAGTTATAAGCATGATAATTAGGGTGAGTGGATGTACTGTAATCATGTTTTCTTGACGGTGGTAATTTGTTCAAGAAACCATTTATCAACAAACTAGGTAGTGTTTTGTTTTGAGCTCTGTTGAGCTCTTGAAACTGTTTCAAGAATATATTGAGTAATGATCCAATTAGTCTTTTTCATTGTTTTCTGTCTTCTAACTTCCATTTGAATGTGTGACGCTAATTGTCACTTTTGAGGTTCTTAACCCTTCTAGGTATTGTGAATACAGTAGTGATTGAGGGTGGTTTGTGAGGCTTAATCATACAGTTTGTCGATGTTCTTTCATATCTGTATTTGTACTTTGTCTTCAGTTTCTGTCCACTAGCTCAGTTGTGATTACGTGGTCAAGCAGTAATGTTTAAATGGGATTTTCTTTGTGATTTAAATTTACCTATAAATTTCTTACTTTTAAGAGAGAGTATTCTGAATACATCTGAGAATACATTCATGTTGTTTTATAGTCATTTTCACCAATTGGCAGGAACCTTCTTTGAGGACTAGGCCAAGGGCTCTGTGGTTGAGTAGGTCATTCACGCATAATAAAGCTGTGATTGCATTATGAAGTGTATGTGAGGGAAGGTATACACAGCTGTGTGGTTCTCCATTTAGTGGCCTTGGATAAATGACTTCTGTTTATTGTTTGTAAAATAGGGATAATATATACCTTGTAGAATATTTTGAGAAACAGATATGGGCACTATGTCAGACAGTAAACAGTGAGTAGTTAACTTTTAGGATTAAAATATAAATAATAATTAATGCTTTTAACATAACTGTGGAAACTCAAGTTTTTTTTTTTTTTTTTTTTGTTTTATTGAGACGGAGTTTCACTCATGTTACCCAGGCTGGAGTGCAATGGCGCGATCTCCACTCACCGCAACCTCCGCCTCCTGGGTTCAGGCAATTCTCCTGCCTCAGCCTCCTGAGTAGCTGGGATTACAGGCATGCACCACCATGCTCAGCTAATTTTTTGTATTTTTAGTAGAGATGGGGTTTCACCATGTTGACCAGGATGGTCTCGATCTCTTGACCTCGTGATCCACCCGCCTCAGCCTCCCAAAGTGCTGGGATTACAGGCTTGAGCCACCGCGCCCGGCCGGAAACTCAAGTTTTATATTTCACTGCTTCTAAAATATTCTGGCAAAAAATCAGCTTTAGTTGATTGGTTTCCAGACTATTTCTCACAGCCAAAGTAATTAGAGAGCTGCCAGTTTATCTTGGTTAGCTTAGACAAGTGTGGGTCATTTTGGTTTTAATTTTGCCAGGACATTTATTCAGCTCTCAGAAAGTAATTAGAGCATATATACTAGAAATACACTTTGGTTATTTCATGATTAAAGTAAATAATATTGTCCACTTAAATGGTATATGGGAAATGGTACATTAAAGAAGGAAAAATGGTTTTCTGTGCAATATGGAGTCAGTTTAACCTGTCCTTGGGTGTTGTTGGAAGACATACTTTTGAATTTCAAATGCCTGAGAATGAGAAACGGCATAGGATATGTAGTTATGATAGTTAGCTATTCCCTCTTACCTAGCATTGCTGTCAAGGATATTACTTTTCCCTGATCTCCCTGCCTCACTATACATTTTGCTGGCTCTCATACCTGTTCTTCTGCCCAGCCTTACATGTTGGTGGTGATAAGAGCTCTTTTAAGGATCCTCTAAGCTTAAGCTACCCTTTTTCTCTAGGTGGTGTACCCCTCTTTTCACCCATGTGATGACAACTTCCAAACCCTGTCTCTAGTGTGTATCTAGTCTCCAATCAAAACCTGCGTGTCTCGGCGTCATCTAGACATCTCCACAACTTCTCAATCACAAAGAACTCAAAATTGAATTATATGTGTCAACCAGACCCACTTTTACAGGTGTTCCCCATTTCCATGAATGATTCCACCATCACCCTAGTCTTCCATGACCTGGGCCTTTTCCTTGACTCTTTTCTCTCTTTCACCATCTGTATTCAGCCTGAACATCAGTCATAGCCACTCTACCTCTTTACTATTAGATTCATTTCTTGTCCGTTACCCTACTGTTTCTGCTATAGCATAGACCATCGTCTTCTCAGGTCTGGATCAATCCAAGAGTGGATCAACCCAATCTCCTGGATCTCTTTCTGCTTCAGTTTTTTCTTTCATCCTACACTTTACAGCCAGGTTGGGCTAAGTGAAATGGGATTCTTATTACTTTTCTCCTCTACTTCAAGCCCTTATGTGACTTCTCACTGCTTTTCAAATAATCCCCACCTTGCCTTTAAAATGACACACAAAATCTTTTATGCTCTGGCTTCTGCCTTCCTTTCCTACTTTATTATTAATGGTTCAGCTTCTGCCTGTCCTTTCTTCACTGATAAACCCCCACTTCATTTGTACAGTGGATTATTGTTCTGTGCCTGTGGTTTCCTTTTTTTATGAGGAATGTTCTCATGTTTCCACATAACTCCCTATGCCTGACACATACCTTCCATTCTGGCTATTTTGTCTGAATAATGAGTACTCATTTAAAAAAATAAACTCAAATGTCAACTTCTGCAGAAATGCCTTCATGGTGACCCTCTTCTCCTAACCTGGGTTAAATATAAATCCTTTGCCTTTTTTTTTTTTTTTTTTTTTAAGACAGGGTCTCACTCTGTTGCCCAGGCTGGAGTGCAGTGGCACGACCTTGGCTTACTGCAACCTGTGCCTCCCAGGTTCAAGCGATTCTCCTGAGCAGCTGGGATTAGAGGAACGCACCACCACGCTTGGCTAATTTTTGTATTTTTAGTAGAGATAGGGTTTTACCATGTGGCCAGGCTGCTCTTGAACTCCTGACCTTGTGATCCTCCCTCCTCGGCCTCTCTAAGTGCTGGGATTACAGGTGTGAGTCACTGCACCCAGCCTAGTCCTGTGCTTTTTATGCAACATGGTATTGACTTAGTGTATGCTTATTTGTAGCCCTCACTCCGTTAGCTTCTCAAGGTTGTCTTTATTCATGTGCCCATGACTTACCACGTCATAGAGGCCATTAAATATGGGCTAATTGACTTGATTGTTTTTGTGGTTGCATATTACATGTGAATAACATTTTAAAGTTATTTTTTATTGAGAAAATTTACATATCACAAAATTTACCCCTTTAAAGTATATAAGCCAGTGGTTTTGGATATTTGTAAGGTTGCCAGGGAACGAGGGGGCATGAAGAGTGACTACTGATGGGCACAGGATTTCTTTTTGGAGGTTTGAAAGTGCTCCAGAATTAGTGGTGATGGTCGCACAACCTTGTGAGTATTCTCAAAATCACTAACTGTATGCTTTAAGAGGGTGAAGTTTATGGTACATGAATTATGTCTTAATAAAGCTTTAAAACAGGTGTACTTTTTTTGGCTTATTCAAGTTTGTACTACTTAAAAAGTTAACAAAAAATTTTTTTGAGAGACGAGGTCTCACTCTGTTTCTCATGCTGGCCTCAGGCTCCTGGGCTCCAGCAGGTCTCTCACCTCAGTCTCCCAAGTAGCTGGGACTATAGGAATATGCCATCTCCATCTCTAAGCTTTTACTACTTTTGAAGTTACCTGGGACACTACCCATTGTCCAGGGTACCAGGACTTTGAGTGCTTATCATTGGCAAGGGAGGGGAGAGTGAATGTGATCACCTGTCTCTGCAGGCCCTGCTGTTGTTCTTTGCTTTTTCTTTGAGACACATTGCTCTGTTGCCAGGTTGAAGTGCAGTGACATGATCTCTGCTCACTGCAACCTCCGACTCCCTGGTTCAGGGGATTCTCCTGCCTCAGCCTGCCGAGTAGCTGGGCTTAAAGGCATGTACCACCATGCCCTGCTATTTTTTTTTTTTTTTGTATTTTTAGTAGAGACAGGGCTTCACCATTTTGGCCATGATGGCCTCAATCTCTTGATCTTGTGATCCACCTGCCTTGGCCTCCCAAAGTGCTGGGATTACAGGCATGAGCCACTGCCCCTGCCTGCTGTTGTTCTTTATATCAGTGTGCTGCAACACTTTAAAAGTCCCTCTTTGTTTATTTAAAATTTAGTTATTTTCAGAATTAATTTAAATTTTGTTGTAATTAGTTATGATAAGTGCAATCATTGGATACATTTTTTCACCTTACAATGTCTTCATTTGGTTTGGATTATGGACCTTAGATATTTTTCTTATATATACAAAGACAAGTGTGATTAAGATTGAGTGGGATAGAGGTTCAGAATTTTGATAAGAATTTGAGTACCTTTCCCAGAAGATTAACTTTTGCATTGCAACAGTGATGTTGAATTACGGGATTTAATATTGAAATGCAGAATAATACATTTTTGATCCAGATTTTACATTCTTGCTGTTACACACCCTACATTTAAAATTGGTTTTTCTAATACCTAGCGTTTTGATAGATTTTGGGTTTAATGTATGAAATTGTAGTGAAATATGTCTAATTGCTTTCTAATGCTGTTGATAACATTTTCATAATAAAGAATAAAGAATACCAACTACAGATAAAAGTGATTTTTCTTAAAAAAATGGATTTAAAAAATCAATTATTGTTCATAACAAGTTGAAACCAAATAAAAGTAATCCCTGTTTCTTGAGTTCTTGATGATTTTTAGTTCTAGTTATATAGAACTTAGAACACACAATTCTATTGTGATGCTAGTTTTGGGTCTGTGATTCTGATAGAGAATTCTAAAAGTCAGAGCAACGGTCTCCATTTTGTCTGTGCTTTTGAATCTTCTTTCTTGACGTGTGTTCTCCCTGTCACCTGTTACTCCCCTTCTCATCTTTCCTTCCATGCCCCTGGCAACCAAACTGAATCTTAGAGAACTTGTAAAATAACATTTTGTGATTTTTGTTTTGATTACAGTGTAAGTTGTCACCATGACTACTGAAGTAGGCTCTGCGTCTGAAGTGAAGAAGGACTCTGGCCAGTTAGGGGCAGATGCAACCAAGGAGAAACCTAAAGCAGCAGCAGAAAATCAGCAGAATCAGTCATCCGATCCAGAGGAGGAAAAAGGTTCCCAGCCATCCACTGCAGCCGAAAGCCAAAGTAGTCTACGCCGCCAGAAGAGACAGAAGGAAGCCTCTGAGAGCAGGGGTATTTCTCGGTTCATACCGCCATGGCTTAAGAAGCAAAAGTCATATACCTTAGTAGTGGCCAAAGATGGAGGCGATAAAAAAGAGCCTACCCAAGCTGTTATTGAAGAACAGGTCTTAGATAAAGAGGAACCCCTTCTGGAAGAACAGAGACAGGCCAAGGGTGATGCCGAGGAAATGGATCAGAAGAAACAACAAGAGATTAAGGTTGAAGTCAAGGAAGAAAAACCTTCAGTGACCAAAGCAGAGATGCAGGTATGTTTGGGAATAATTGCCTGGAAATGAAAACCTGGTAGCGTAACCACCTAACAGAAAGGGTTTGTTTGTTTTGGATCATTTCCAGATTTCTTATATTGAGATACTGCTTTGGCTTAATGTATCTGGAATGGGTCTTAGATTGGTCTGCCGTAGCCTTCCCCTGTTATTCCTCGGAAAAAAGTCCACTATATATGCAAATTACTAAAAACTTCATGTCTGTACCTGTTAAGATGAGGCAGATACTCTGAGCCCTGCCATCTCTTTTTTAAATGGAATGCTCTTTTATGCCTCTTTAAGTTTTCAGTGGACAGTAAGTAGTAGATCTGTATGTGTGCATTTTGGTTGCCTAACAAAGCCTAAGTTTTGCCATGGTATAAGATTTTAATTGGAAATGTTATTATTTGAGATGATACTTAAATTGTAGTTGCTGGGATGTAGTTTCTTTTATTCATTTAATGCCAAATAACCAATTTGACACAATGAGAATTTTGGCCATGAAAAAAAGGATGAGGGGAAATACCCTTTGTATTGGAATTTTCAAGTCTTTAAAAACTGAGAGTTACAGTGTTTAAAGTAATGATCCCAATTCTTAGGAAAGCATTTCCTTTTACTGTGTTGTCATCTACAAGTTGATTGCCTATAGTATGGATTTAATTTCTTTTCTCAACAGCCTACTGAACAAGTAAGTAAGGGGAGAGAAGAGAAGGTAAAGGAAACACAGGAAGACAAATTAGAAGGAGAAGCAGCAAAAAGGGAGACCAAGGAAGTGCAGACCAATGAGCTAAAAGCAGAGAAGGCATTTCAAAAAGTCGCCAAGAAGACCAAAACTGTCCAGTGTAAAGTGACCCTCTTAGATGGCACCGAATACAGCTGTGACCTGGAGGTGAGATAGGGAGCTGAGTGAGAGCTGTCTTGATGTGGGATTGTGGCATGGCATGATGAATAGATTTCTGTGTTTTACTAAGTTTCTGTAAGCCAGTTCATTACAGTTTTGCACTAAAAAAAGCACATAAAATGTCACAAACAATATTTTATGACCTGAGGAGGCAGGATGCTGTTCTGCCAGACTGCACTAGTCCTGTGTACTGGTTAGTGTGTATTCTGAATGGGTGTTAAATATTTGGAATATTGCTTCTGGCTAAGAGATGTTTTTCTTGAGGAAAAATGATGGCACTAGGCTGACATTTCAGAATAAAGAAGTTTCAACAGTAAACTTAACCCCAAGCATTTTATCCTGACACAGGTAATGGCTTAAAATCTAATTTATTTAGTTTCATTTAATTTAAAAAACATAAAATTCATTAGCAGTGATACTGACAGAAGTCAGTTTAATCTTTTAATGCATCTAGTACCTTATAATTTTATGTCAATCAGAAGAGTTTCTTGCTTTCCACAAATTATTTACGTAACATATACTAATAGCTAATGTTTACTGAAGAACTGTGTAAAGTGCTTTGAATGGATTATCTTATTTAGTACTTAGAAGAATCAATAAAAGGTATATATTATCATTGCTATTCTCAGTGCTACATATTACAATGGGGAACTTAAGGCTTAGAGAAGTTAAATTCCTTGCCCAAAGTTTCGTGGCTGGTTAGTGGTTGAACAAGGATTCCAGCCGCTACAGTTTGGTTCTAGAGCTCATGAATCTGACCACAGAACTAATTATGCAGTTAGATCTGGTACATGTGGGACCTATCTTGCCTGTTTCATTGGTGTTCTCATCTATTAAATATTGGACACATTTCCCCCTGATTCCTTGCATTCTTAATAAAAAGAGAAGTTACTTTGCAATAACAATGAAAGAATTCAGCTTTTAAAGACATTTAATGTCTATCTAGTTGAACAGTAGTATATTCTATATTTGAATGTATATTATATTGCACAGTGCTGAGGGTACTAAGATGAATAATTCTTGATTCTTGCTTTTTGTATTAGTTACTTAGAATTTTATTTTACTTTCTTTATAATTTTCCTGATGTTTCAATTGTTTAAAGAAAAGGAGTAGCAAAAAAGGCTTAAAAATTCTTGTCTTAGTTTTTTCTGTTCTAGGAAAATACCTTCAGCTGGGCAATTTAAAAGCAACATAAATTTGTTGCCCACAGCTCTGGAGGCTGGGAAGTCCCAGATCAAGGCACCAGAATTTTTGGTGTCTGGTGAGGGGCTTGCACTCTGCCTCCAAGATGCCACCTCATTTCTGTATCTTCACATGGTGGAAGGGGCAAGTGTTGTGTCCTTACCTGATGGAAGGACAAGGCAGCTCCCTTCAACCTCAGTTGCAAGGGCACTAATCCCATTCATGAAGGCAGAGTGATTAAGTCATTTCCTAAAGATACCGCCTCTTAATGCCACCACAATAGGTGAATTTTGGAGGGATGCATTCAGACCATAGCAATCTTTAAAGCTTTCTTTTATTCTGCTGTTCTTTTTAACACTTCTTTTTGTCCTTTGCTGAGACTCCCTTTCTATCCCAGGGATAGAGAGAGAGAGGTCTTAGGGATAGGAGTGAGAGACCGTAAAGAAAGGGACAGAGTGGTTTTCTGAACTTGACTCAATTACGTTATATTTGATTGCATGTCTTTTGTCTTTCCTACCTATCCTAGAAGTTAGGGGATGTAGATTTTTGAGAACCAACTCAATGTTATGTGACCTTGAGTCATTTAGTCAACCTCCGTGGACCTCAGTTTCTTCGTCTATAGAACATAGGATTACTTAGATCATCTAGAATGCCCTTTCACTGCTAATGTCCTTTACATCACTAAGCCACAAGACTGACCACGTACTTTATGGTTTAAATCTATTTTTGTTCTCTATCTTTCTAAAAAAGCCAAATAAAATATTTAAAAACTACAAAAATATAGAAATAATAGAGGAGACAGTTGTGTATCCACCACAAAAATTTCAGTTGTTACCATTTTGCCATGTGTTTTAGATCTTTAACAAAATAAAACATTAAAGACATCGCTAAAGTCTCATTCCCATCTTTTCCTTCTTTCCCTCCATGTATCTTTTTATGATATATAAATCTATTCATTTTAATTGTTGTATAGTATTTCTTTGACTAAACCAGTTTATTTCCCTCCTGAGTCATAGTTTCTTTATATACTATAAGAAATAGTTCTTAAGTGAATATTACAAGACGTGTTTTCTTGTTTACTTGTGTAAGAGTTTCTTCAAGGTAGGCACCTAGTAATGGAATTGTTAGATTGATGGAATCCAGTTTTACTTCTTCAGTTTCCCCAGATATTGCCAATGTGATTGTGCCAATTTACATTCCAATGAGCAATCATTAAGTTTGCTTTTACCACATTGTCATCAGCGATTCTTGTAATCAGACTTACTAATTTGGGCCAATCATATGTATGTGAAATAGCTTCTCAGTATTTTGACTTGCATTTGTTTGATCACTGTCGGCTTTCACTAGGTTGTGCTTCAGTAGCACAAACACCTCCAAGTCTTCATGACTTTTAATAAAAATGGTTTATTTCTTGCTATGTTACTTGTGCTTGGTGGGTTTGTTATGGCTCTTTTCCACATCATCGTTATTTCTGATCAAGACCGAAAGAATAGCCTCTACTTGGGACATGCTGTTTTCATGATAAAAGGAAAAGAAAACACGACAGAACCACACTACAGTTTTTGAATCTTCTGCTTGGAAGTGGTGTATATTACTTTAACTCACATTTCATTGGCCAGTCAAGTCATGTGGTCAAAGCTGATAACGATATAGTGGGCAAGTAGGATCCTCTCATGGGAAGGATACCTCAAACCACAAAAACAGTTCTACAGTTTATATTAGGCTGGTGCAAAAGTAACTGTAGTTCTTGTCACTAAAAGTAATGAGGTTGGCTGGGCATGGGGGCTCATGTCTGTAATCTTAGCACTTTGGAAGGCTGAGGTGGGCAGATCACCTGTGATCAAGGGTTCAAGATCAGCCTGGTCAACATGGCAAAACCCCGTCTTTACCAAAAAATCAAAAAGTAGCCAGGCTTGGTGGCAGGCACCTGTAATCCCAGCTACTCGGGAGGCTGAGACAGGAGAATTGCTTGAATTCAGGAGGTGGAGGTTGCAGTGAGCCCAAATCACACTACTGCACTCTAGCCTGGGTGACAGAGTAAGACTCTGTCTCAAAAAAAAAAGTAATGAGGCCGAATATCTTTTAATGTTTTATTTAGGTTTATATCATTACTCTGAAATTTTAAAAACTAAATATTATTTCTCAGATTAAGGACTTTCTCCCCTAGTTTCTAAGACTTATTCATGGGTAGGTGGTGAATTTTATCAAATGTGTTTTTTTTTTGCATCAACTAAGAGGATCATGTATTTTTCTAACCCGCTAATATTGTAATCTACATTAATATTTTCTACTGTTAAGCCATCTGAATTTCTAATGTAAACTTGGTAGATTCTATCTGCATTCATTTTGTATTATTTTTTATTTAGGACTTTTGCATATATTACCTTTAATTTTCTTTTATAAAATTGTCTTCATCAGATTTTGTTATCTGGGTTGCATTCTATCCTCATAAAGTTGCTTCCCTCTTAACCACTTTTTAGAAAATCTGGGATAAATTAGTGATGGTCACTTTTTTGGAGATCTGGTAGAACTTGCCTTTAAAACTGTCTTGGCTAGTAGCCTGTTTGAGAGAGGAGTGGAGGTAGAAGGTAGTTTCTGTTGCTTTTTAAATTATTGATATAATTTTTTATACTTACTTTTTTTTCCCGCAAGCTGATTACAGCAATTAATATTTTTGGTAAAGACTGTCCATTTCATCTAATTTGAAACATTTATTGGCATGAAGATTTTCATAGTATTCTTCCCTTGTGCATTTGATTTTTATTTCATATTTCTAGTGTTGTTTGCCTTTTAAAAATTATCCTTAATATCAATTTACATATATATATGTATTTCAAAAGAAACAACTTGGTTTTATCATTTCTATTGTAGCTTTCCTATTTTATAACATTTCATCTCATTTGCTCTTTCTTTTTCTTTGGGATAACTGTTCTAATTTTTTGAGTTTAACATGTAAAAAATTGCTTTCATGGCTCTAATGTTGCCTGGAAGTACTTCTTGTTTATCATGTAAATTTGAAATATAGTTGACCCTTGAACAAAGTAGGAGTAGGGGCACCAGCCTCCTGCACAGTTGAAATTGCATGTAACTGTTGACTGACCCCACATGCAACTACTAATAATCAACCTCCTGTTGCCTGGAGCCTTTCCGAGATAAACAGTCAACACGATTTTGTGTGTTATATGTATTATATACTGTATTCTTACAATAAAGTAAGGTAGAGAAAAGATGTTATTAAAAAATTATAAGGAGAGAAAATATATTTACTATTCATGAAGTGGAAGTGGATTATTATAAAGGCCTCCATTCTTATCATCTTCATGTTGCCTGAGGAGGAAGAGGAGGAAAGGAGGAGGAGGAGGAGTTGGGGGAGATGGGTCTTGCTGTTTTGGCAGAGGTGGAAGACAATCTAGGTTTAAGTGGACCCATGCAGTTCAAACCTGTGTTGTTCAAGAGTCAACTATACAGTGCTTCCATTACTTTGGGTCTTTTCTTCTCTCTCCCTCTCTCTTTGTCTCTCTCTCTCCCTCTCTCTCTCTCTCTCTCTCTCTCTCTCTCTCTCTCTCCCTCCCTCCCCCCCCTCCCCCCATCTCTCTCTCTGTTTCTCTCTTTGTTTGTCTCTCCTCTCCCAACTTCTTCTCTCTCTCTTTCTTTTTCTCTTTCTCTTTCTCTCTCTCTTCCCCCTGTCTTCTTCTCTGTCTCTCTCTCTCAACGGGGTCTCTGTTGCCAGGCTGGAGGGCAGTGGCAGTCCTTCTTCTTGCCTCAGCTTCCAGAATGTCTGGGGCTGCAGATATGTACCTCCATGC